TGGAATGGCCAGAATGGGTGGTTGAATAGAAGGACGGGTGGGTGGATGGACAGATGGGCGGATGGGTGGGCGGATAGACGGATGGATAGATGGATGGACAGATGGATAGATGGGCAGATGGATGGATGGACGGATGTGCAGATGGGTGGGTGGACAGACGGACAGATGAATGGATGGATGGACAGATGGGCAGACGGATGGATGGACGGATGCATGGATGGGTGGATGGATAGGTGGCCAGATGAACGGATGGATAGGCGGGAGGATGGGTGGACAGATGGACGAATGGGCAGATGGAAGGATGATCCAGATTATGATGGGCTAGAGGGAAGGATGACTGGATCTGTGCCCGGATAGAGAGGGATGGACAGATTACTGAACGTTTGGGTGGATGGACGGATGAAGTGGTAACGTGAGACTCTCGCACCGCGTTTCTGAGCCCTGTCAGGACTGCTCAGCGGCTGCTTTCCCTCAGCTTCCCCGCGTCTTGTCCTGGCCCGCGGAGGTCTCCAGTCTCCCTCAACCTCACGGACGTCAGCTTGGAGAACGCACTCAGCTCTGTGCGACAGAAACTCCTCCCCTTCACACACAGGGTGGTGAGCGGGTCTCCTCTGCGGCCCGTTCATGGCTTAGACTGGTATATGGAAGGCAGGGGGGCCTATCCCGCCTCTGCAGCCGGGCAGAGGGGCTCCACCCTGGCTCCACCACCTACCAGCTGTGCGCTCTGGCAGTTACCTGACCACCCTCTGCCTCGGTTTTCTCCCGTAAAATGGGCATGGCAACCGTGCCACCCACTCGAGGGCCTCCATGAGCATGAAAGTGCTTGAAGCTTGTTTAAAGCAGTAGCTATGTGCCTGCACGCGAGAAGCCGCAGGGAGCGGGGATGACGGCCGCCAGCCTGGATGAGGGGCCCAGCGCCCGCCGCTCCCCGGCAGCAACTTGGGTCCTTTTTCTCCAGTACTGGTCACGATGATGTGGCAGGGAGCTGGCCACTGTGCAAGATGGACAACTGGGCTGTGGCCAGACAAGGAAATCAAGCGTTACTGGGCAGTCACCGTGCACAGGTGGTCAGTACCCCATCCGGTACCTGGGGACGCTGCAAACTCCTGCCATGGCCCAGCACAGGTGGCTGGGGGCCTGCCTGCCTTCCCTCTCCCCAACTTCCCCAATTCGAGACAGAGCTGTGCCAGCTAAGGCCACTGCTTCCAGCCTCCTGAGCAGGCAGGGGTGACTGATGAGATGGCAGGGGGAGTTGCTGCATGGAACATTCTGGAAGCTCAGCTGGGCGGGCTCCTCACTGCCCACCTCCCCCTCCTCTCCAAGCCACTTTTCCGAAGCATGAGAACCTGGCAGACGGAAGCCACATGCTGAACACTGAAGCTCACGAGAAGTGAGAACCGCTCTCAGCTCACCAGCTGGGGCCAAACCTGGCTCGCTGAGCCCTGCCCTAAGGAATGGCTCTTGGCCCTTGGTGGATGACACGCGGCTGCTGTTGTCCCTGGTTTGCATGAGGTGGTCTGGCTGGGGCAAGGGTGGCGGTCAGGTCGCAGGGGTTCCATGGGAGGCTGTGGTGTGGACTGGCCAGGGTCATGATGGACTGGTTGTTGGTGGGGCCACCAACAGCAGAAAGCCTGGGAACGGTGCCGGACTGGGGGGCCCTGGGCATGGATGGTGCCCCCAGGGTGCTCAGGTGCAGCTGAGGCATTCAGTGGAGGTGTCCCTTGGGCCGCGGAGAGACCTGGGGTGGGGTGGCCCGAGTCATTGTTGGGGGACGGGGAGACGAGTTCTGTGCAGGAAGCAGAAGGGGGATGGGAGGCAAGTGGAGTTCAAGTGCACCTTGAAAGCAGACACTCCACAACCATGGTCAGACATGGGCCCTGGACACCTGGCTCTGGCCACACCCACTCAGTCCAGGTGTGCTCCAGGGGGCCTGGGAGGCAGCTCCAGGCAGCTCTTCTGCCTCCACTGCCCAGGGCACAAGGCTACGGATAAAAATCACGGGAAAATGGAATTAAAAGATGAGTTTCTTTTGGTGCCATGTAGTTTTTTCATAATATGCACTGGCCATGAACTGTTTGAAGACCTGGCTGTGTGGGTATGTGGAGATGCCCAGGAATTCCGTGGAGGGAGAAGGGAGGGGAGGAGAGGTCTCTCTTGGGTGGTTACCTGGAAGGTGTGACAAATTCACCCTCGAGCACATTTTAATTCATGAGGGTGCATTATTCCACCAGCTAACCGACTCCCCCCTGTGGCCGCCCCTTGGATTCATGAGGGTGCATTATTCCACCAGCTAACCGACTCCCCCCCTGTGGCCGCCCCTTGGATTCATGAGGGTGCATTATTCCACCAGCTAACCGACTCCCCCCTGTGGCCGCCCCTTGGGCTACCCCCTGCCCTAGTCCTGTTGCAGCATCTCTCCTCTCTGTCCTGATGTCGCACATGTGGTTTCTTGTCAATATTCAAAACAGTCTTTTGTCACTTATCTCAGGTGTTGTTAGTAAGGCGACACCTTCTGTGGAGTCAAACTGTCACTCCCCTCATAAAAATAGCTCGTTTTCCACCCTCAGTAGCGAGAATTAATTTGATGAGAACTCTGAAAACCTTGGTATGGCTTGCTTTCTTGGGAAACATATTCTTTGAATAAGCGAATTATCTTCAAAAGTATCCCTTTCATGGCAGCTTCTGAACAATTAGTAATTGAAAGTTTGCATTAGATACGTCTGAGTGGAGGACTTCTCACTGTGTTTTTTGCTTTTCCTATTGTTTGGAAGGCGGACTCACACTCACACACACACAATCTTCAGCCCCTGGTTCACTCCCCAAATGCCCACCACAGCTGGTCAGGAGCCAGGAACCCAGGTGGGTGGCAGGGAGCCAAGCCCTTGACCGTCCTCTGCTGTCCCCATGTCTTGAGCCCAGGCTCTCGGACAGGGAACGCAGGCATCCCAAGCGAGCTGACTCCTGCGTCAAATGCCCATCCCTGATTTTGCTTTAAAAAAGTTATTTAAAGACTTGATTTATTTAAGGGAGGGAGAGAGAGAGAGAGAGGGACCCCAAGTGCTGATTTACTCCTTAAATCCTGTGGTGGCCAGGGCTGAGGCCAGGAGCTGGGAATCCAATCCAGGTCTCCCGTGCGGGTGGCAGGAACCCAGTCACTTGAGCCATCACCACTTCTGTCCAGGGTGTGCATTCGCAGGACGCGGAAGTCAGGAGTCCAAGCTGGGGCTCACCCCCGGGCACCACGCTGCATGGTGTGGGCGTCTTAACCTCCAGACTGGACGCCCCTCCCTGAATGTTCTATGTTAAGGGGGCGCGGGCTCCGGCAACCACACCGCAGGCAGCCTGGAAACCCAAATAACGGCTCGAACCCGTTCTTTCTTCACAAAGCAAATTTGGTTTCCCCTTCAAGCAATCCCCGTGTGTGTGTGTGTGTGTGTGTGTGTGTGTGTTGGGGGCAGGGAGAATATTTTAAAGGAGCTTGTTACCATAGAGCAGTTTTAGAATTGCAGAGACATTGTGAAGCCGGCATGTGAGCATACACCCCACGCCCCGTCTACTGGGAGCCCCTGGTAGATTCCAGGGCTTTCGTCGCAGCACCCGGTACGTTGTGTTGTAACCCGGATTCCACCTGGGAGAGCCGAGTGGAGGGAGGCGCTGAGACCCTGCTCTGCCCCAGCAGCGCCACAGGCCAGCCATGTCCTCTGCTCGCACAGGGACGCTGGTGGTGACAGCTCCTTGCGGACACCACGGAGTGCTTCGGAGCTGCTCTGGTAAGGGGTGCCGAGCAGGGTCAGGACCCCGAGGCGGGGGGAGCAGCCTGGTCCATCTTGCCCGTGGGCAGACCTGGGAGGAGGTCAAATCCCGCCCCAGTCCCATCCTCATCCCTGCAGCAATGACCCTCTGAGGAAGGCGGGGGGGGGGGGGAGGAACCCCTCACTTAACACCTTGGGTACCAGGGAGAGGGGAGGGGCTGCGGAGGTGGGGGTGAGGGAGGGGAGGTGGGCACAGGGGCGCCACAGGTTTCTTAACCCAGGCAGCTCCTCCATGCGGAGCTGAAACTTAGCCAGCAAGGCTTAGACCACTCAGGGGACTGACCCAGGTGGAGGGGCTTGGCTGGAGCCTGCATCTCCCCCGCCATGCCTTGCCCCCACGGGACCCCTTCCCGATCCCCGCTCTCCAAGCTCCTCTTATTCCAACACTTTGCGCTTCCAGAGATGGACACAGGGCTCCTCCCACCGGCCCCAGGTCCTGAGACCTCTTCTTGCGAGGATGGGGGATGGCGGCTGCTGCCTCTGCCTCCCACTCAGGGACCCCACCCCTGCAGGGACCCTCCGGGTGGACGCCCCAGCGGAGGTCACCCCCACCCGGGAGGTCCCTGACTTCCGGGTGCTTCCCTATTCCTAGCGGAAGGGAGACGAGTGGGAGGCGCCACTCTGTCTCCTTAGAGGTGGGCCTGCAGATGTCCTCACACAGCCCAGGCCCCTGGCGGCACCAGGGGCGCAGAGCTCCTCGCGGCGCCCCCAGCACCCCTGGGCCAGCGAGGTGCCGCCATCTGCGAGATCGGAACTGGAAGTGGATGCCATTTGCTAACGCAGCGGTGCCAGGAATCCCGAAACAAACCAGCTCTTTCCACACAGGGGCCAGACAGGCCTGACGGAGGACGAGGTAAGAAACCCTGGAGTCGTGCGCTGGACACGGTGCGACCAGGGGACCAGGACCCCGCCACTTCCGGTCACGAGGCTGCCGCGGTGGACTGTCAGATCACCGCCCATTCTGAGCTACCTCGGCCTTCGCAGGGGCATGGAACTTCGCTTTCTTGGTGACCGCACACCAGGGTGTGGAAAACCTTTACACAGCTGGCTGGATGCCAGCCCTGGCCGGAGCGGTGGCTCAGGCTGTGACCCCCGCGGCACCTGGCGTGTCGTGCGCCGCCGTGCACTAACCTTTCAGGCCGGTGTCCGTGTCACCCTCCTGGTCCTGGAGCACAGCGTAGCCTCCAGCGTGGTCTTCCGTCGCCTCGAACTCCTGGCGGGGCTCAGCCATCCTGGGTCAGGGCTCACCTGAGGAGAGACGGGAGGGTGAGGGTGAGGGTGGGCAGAAGGAGAGGCGACGCCCGCCCTGACCATTGCGCGGGCTGGCTTGCTGTTTGATTTTTTTTTTTTTTCATGGAGAGGGGAAGACCCACCAGGGGAGGGAGGGCATCTGCAGGCCATTTCTGGTGACCCGTGTGTGGCACGGAGGAGCGACTGATCATTCACCCAGGAGACAACCAGCAGCGAAACCAAACCCCAGACTGCAGGGGCCCTGACTCCCCCAGCCCCAAGCCCGCGGGGGGACCAGCAGGAGCCTCAGCTGTGTCTTCCCCGTGTGGCCCTCCTGCTGGGCTGACCTGAGTCCACGGGGACCCGCCCTCCAGGGCACACCCCCGCCCCGAAGCCCAGGCAGAGACGCTGGAGACGTGGCACACCTGTCTCTGAGCTGTCTGCACTCAGTGTGTATTTATGGCTCTTCACAACACCGTAGAGTTTGAATCTCTGGGCTGTGTGTGTGCTGTTTTGCTATGGCTCACGCTGCTTTGCCTTGTTCCATAATTCCACACTTTTATCTCTTCACAGTATTTAGTTTCGCCCCCTGAGAGCATAGCCCATTTTCTAATTTATTCCGGTCTCTAAGTCTCCCGCCCTGCACCCTCCCTGCCGTCCTCGTGGCCCCGTGGCCCTCGCGCTGCCCCTGGGGAAGGGACCTGCCCCGGCCCACGGCTCTGGGCCCCACAGCAGAAAGGACAATGCTGGAGCTCCCCGACCTTGTGCAAAGAAGCGGGCGGAGCTCAGTCCTCACGCGGGGCCGAGCACTGCCCAGTGGTCAGCTTGCCCCCGTCCAACGGCGGCCCACACTTTTAAGTGCTGGGTTTGGGGGCGAGCAGCTCACCCAGTGGGGCCTGGGAGGAGGCGTGGAAGCCAGGGACCGCACGTGTGACGCCTCCCTGCATCCTGCTCTCCTGGAAGGTCCCTCATGCTGCCTGCCCCAGGCCACTGTCCACACACCCCGTCAGCCAGCCCATTCCTCTGCACACGGAGGAGAGGGTCAAAGGCGCCCAGCGGCCGGCCATGCTCCACACAGGCCTGGCCGTCGGCACTCAGTGCCTGGAACGCGTCTGAAGTGCTCCTAGCAGGAAATGGGCGTGGAGAGGAATCAGAGGCGGGTGGGTGTGGACGGGGCCATGAGCTGCTTTCTCAGAGGTGGTTCCCACCAGCCCGGCTGCACCTGCAATTGCCTTCCCCGTGTATCCACATGGCCACCACGCCTGTGACCAACGGGGAACACCAGGGAGAGGCTGCCAGCTGGGGCTTTACCCACAGGCAGGAGCGGCCTCCCAGAGGTGTGCAAGGCAGGGCCCACTGGAGAGGAGGTGCCTACAGCATCCTGGGCAGCTGGTTCAAAGGCCGGGGTGAGAGGTGACGGACAGGACGGGCCGGGCCCAAGAAGGAGATCTGAGAAAATGCCAGAATGGGTTTCGGAATTGGGTTGGGGTCAGGGAAAGAGATCAGGATCCAGAACTCAAGTAGCAAGGAGGGCAGCGGGGCCGCCTCTTCCTGCATGCTTTTAAATATTGTTCTGCTGTCAATTTTAATTTGTATATTTTCTTAATATTTATTTATTTGAAAAGCCAGAGTTATAGAGAGAGAGGGAGAGACAGTAAGAGAGAGAGAGACTGATGTTCCATCTGCTGGTTCACTCCCCAGGGGGCTACAACAGCCAGGGCTGAGCCAGGCCAAAGCCAGGAACCAGGAGCTTCATCCAGGTCTCCCATGTGGGCGGCAGAGGCCCAAGTACCTGGGCCATCTTCTGTTGCTTTCCCAGGTGCATTAGCAGGAAGCTGGGTTGGAAGTGGAGCAGCCAGGACACGAACCGGCACCCATATGGGATGCCAGTATCGTAGGTGGCGGCTCTACCTGCTGCACCACAGCGCTGGCCCCAGTACTGCATTTTGATAACAGGATTTGCTTCACGTTAGAAGCTCTAGAAAATTTACTCTACTACCCCACTAGGCTTCCATTGGAATTTTACATGTTTTATTGTTTATGGATCTTTGCTTTTAGTAGATCTGTCGAGGAAGAGGGACTCCACTCCAGCTTCGGGTCAGGGGTTGGAGCTGTCTTTTGTGAAGGTCCGAGCAGTGCACAGCTCGGGTACTGCCCTGCGGCCCCATGGCGGCCTCTGTGGTCCTGCTGCCGCCACCAGAGACCGCAGCCTCTGGGGATGGGCGAGTGAGCCTGGCTGCATTCTGACCCAACTTGATTTAGAGCACTAGGATTTCCTATCATTTTCTTTTCTTTTTTATTTATTTGACAGGTAGAGCTATAGACAGTGAGAGAGAGAGACAGAGAGAAAGATCTTCCTTCCACTGGTTCACCCCCCCGTATGGCTGCTACAGTCAGCGCTGCGCCGATCCGAAGCCAGGAGCCAGGTGCTTCCTCCTGGTCTCCCATGCGGGTGCAAGGGCCCAAGCACCTGGGCCATCCTCCACTGCCCTCCCGGGCCACAGCAGAGAGCTGGACTGGAAGAGGAGCAACTGGGACTAGAACCTAGTGCCCATATGGGATGCCGCCACTGCAGGCAGAGGATACCGACCCCTCCTATCATTTTCATGCATCATAAAATATGCACTGCACTGTGGTGCAGTGAGTTACAAGGTGTCGGCAGTGTCGGCTTCCCAAACAGGCACTAGTTTGAGTCCTGGCTGCTCTGCTTCCAATCCAGCTCCCTGCTAATGCACCTGGGAAAGCAGCGGAACATGGCCCAGGTACTTGGACCCCTGCCACCCATGTGGGAGACCCGGAAGAAGCTCCTGGCTCCTAGCTCTGCCTGGCCCAGCTCTGGCCATTATGGCCATCTGGGGAATGAACAAGTGGAGGGAAGACCTCTGTCTCCTCTCTTTCTCTGTGACTCTTTCAAATAAATAAATATTTTTTAAAAGATTTATTTATTTGAAAGGCAGAGTTACAGAGAGGCAGACTCAGAGGCGGAGAGAGAGAGGTCTTCCATCCCTGGTCCACTCCCCAAATGGCCGCCACAGCCAGAGCTCCCCCACCCCGGTCCCGCCAGCATCTGGAGCCCGCAGGCCTTGTCGGGAAACACAAGCCTGTGTCTGGAGCACGCCTGAGGGTCTACCTGATGTGGACACAAGTCCAAAACCCAGAGTATGATGTCCCTTTCAGCCTATGACGGACACGGGCCGGGCAGCAAAAGGGCAGAGACCCTGGGCCTGGTGACAGGAGATGCCCATGATGCACCTCAGGAAGCCCTCACAGCAACCCTCTAAGATAACTATCTTAATCGTCATCGTCGTCATTCTCATCATCCTCATCGTCACCACCACTATCATCATCATCACCACCATCGTCATCATCATCACCACTGTCGTCATCACCACCTTCCTCATCATCACCATCACCACCACCACCATCATCACCACCACCACCATCACCACCACCATCACCACCATCATCACCACCACCATCATCATCACCACCTCCACCTTTGTCATCCTCATCATCACCATCACCACCATCCTCGTCATCACCACCACCCCCATCATCACCACCGCCATCATCACCACCACCATCACCACCACCATCACCACCACCATCACCACCACCATCATCATCATCACCATCATCATCACCACCTCCACCATCATCACCACCATCCTTGTCATCACCATCACCACCATCATCGTCATCACCATCACCACCATCCTCGTCATCACCATCACCACCACCCCATCATCACCACCATCATCATCACCACCATCATCACCACCACCCCCCCATCATCACCACCACCATCATCATCACCACCTCCACCGTCATCACCACCATCCTCATCATCACCATCACCACCATCCTTGTCATCACCATCACCACCATTGCTGTCATCATTAACACCACGACTTAGAGGAGTTGTGAAGTCACCAGCCCAAAGCCCCAGAGCCCGCGGGAGGCACAGACTGCGGGCCAAAGGCTGGGCCGCTCAGCGGTCCCTCACTTCCTGCTCTTTCATCCTGGACTAACCACGAGGCACCCCCGCCTTTCTCCCTGAGACGTGGGGCACAGGTCTGGCCACGGAAGGGGCAGCTTTGTGACCACAGCACCTCCCTCAGCCTCCGGGTGCCTTCTCCCCAAGTCCCACCCGAAGACCCCGGGCTCACTTCTGACTCTGCTAACATCTGGTTCTCGGAGGGCCCGCTGGGCCCGTGTGCTGAGCCAGCCTCCAGCCCAGGCCTGGGCGGGGCAGATGGCTGCGGCATCCAGCCAGGGCCGCACCTCAGCCCCGCCTCCTTCCTCCCCTGCACCTCCCCACTCCACTGCCAGGTGAGTTCTCTGGAGAACCGGACACAGGGCAGCGGAACCACCGGGCCAGGGCCACAGCTGCACACCTGGCCCTGACCCCCTGCAGACGGCCGACTGAAAACCACCTGAACAGGTGTGGCCTGGACCAGAGGCGCCACGGTCACATCTTCCCGGGACCTCAGTGGACACGGATGGGACAAGGAGCAGAGCCGGGTGAGCCTCCCTGCTGTCCCCCTCCCTCCCGCCGCTGCCCCACACAGTGCTCAGAGGCAGGCCCTGGGTGCTAACACAGCATCCCTGGGCCCCCTTGGGAAAGGACTCGGCCTCCTGGAGAGACTGAGGACAGGGCCGGGGGGGGGGGCGCCCATCACTCTGGAATCTCGAGCCCCGGAGGGGAGGGGCTTGCTCAGCGGCCAGGTTCCTCTTCCTAGAGGACCACACCCTCCTGCCCCACGTGTGCCTTGCACAGGGGCAGAGAGAGACGGAGGCCAGCGGTGGGAAGGAGGGGAAAGGTCTGTAGGGGTGAGGCGGAAACAGAGTGAGAGAGGTAAGCAGAGGCAAAGGTCTTCCCCCTGCTTGCTCACTCCTCAAACAGCCCCACCAGCCAGGGGCCAGGCCAAAGCCCCAGTCAGGACCTCCATCTGGGTCTCCCACCTGGGTATCAGGGCCCAAGCACTTGGGCCATCTGCTGCTGCCTTCCCAGGTGT